TGTGGCTCAGTGGTTAAGTACCCCTGGGTTCAATCTCTACTATCAAAGAAGAAGGAGAAGGACAAGGAGAAGGAGAAGGAGAAAGAAAAGAAAAAGAAAGTTCATTGTTTATGTTGTTTACATTGTTTACTTATTCTTGGCATATTTTCCATATACTCTTGCACAAACATAAGCATAAAGTTTATGTACTGTTCAAATTATTAAAACATACAGCATTTTTCTCCACACAACTCCCAGTTTCAGATGTTTTTTTTTTCCTAGTGGAATTTCATTTTATTTTATTTATCGATTTATTTCCCCCCATTTCTATTGAGGTATGATTAACAAATAAAAAATTCATGTATATAAGGGATATGCAATATATTCTGATACACATATGCACTGTGAGATGACCACAATCGAGCTGATTAACATATCCATCACCTTATAAAGGTAACTTTGTATGCGTAAGAATATTTAAGATCTCTTAGCAAAGAGATATGCCCAATACCATATAATTAACTATAGTCACTGTGTGGTACATCGACTCTCCAGAATGTATTCATCCTGTGTAACTGAAACTATGTGCTCTTTAAGCAAGGCTTTCCTACTGCCCCCAGCTCCTGGTAACCACCCTTCTACTCTCTGCATATGTGAGTTCAACTCTACAAGATTCCACATATGAGATCATGAAGTAATTGTCTTTCTGTGCCTGGCTTATTTTCCTTAGCATAATGTCTTCTGTGTTCATCTATGTTGTTACAAATGACAGAGTTTCCTTCTTTTAAAGGGTGAATAAATTATATACATCTATATTATATGTAGGTATATGTCATATGTGTGTGTGTTCACTTTTTTTTTTATCCATTCATCCATTCACGGTCACTCAGGTTGTTCCCATACTTTGGCTATTGTGAACAATGTTGCAGTGAACATGGAGTATAGATATCTCTTCAACATACTGATTTTAATTTTTTGGATTGCCGAGTAGTGGAATTGCACATGATAGTTCTGTTTTTAATTATTTCAGGAAACTCCACAGTTTTCCATAATTATTCTGTCAATTAACATTCCCACCAATAGTGTGCAAGGATTCCTTTTACTCTTCTTTCTCTCCAACACTTATCTTTTGTCTTTTTGATAATTGCTATTCCAAAATTTCCTTGATATTGATACTGAACATTTTTTCATATACCTGTTGGTCATTTGTATGTCTTCTTTTGAGAAAAGTCCTTTGCCATTTCTCAATGTGTTATGTGTTTTCTTGCTATTGGGTTGAGTTCCTTATATATTTTGGATATAGACCTTATTTGATATCTGATTTGAAAATACTTTCTCCCTGGATTTTCTCTTCACTCTGTTGATTGTACCCTTTGCTGTGCAAAAGCTGTTTAGTTGGATGCAATCCTATTTGTCTATTTTTTCATTCATTGACTGTGCTTTTGGAATCATATCTAAAAAATCATCACCCAGACCAAGATTGAGAACATTTTTTCTATTCTTTCTTCTAGAAGTTTTACATTTTGGTCTTATATTCAGATCTTTAATACATTTTGATTTGTTTCACATTTTTTAATATGGTGTGAGTTAAGTTTCCATCCGATTTTATTGTTTTGTGATTGAAATCTAGTTTTACGTAGCTATCCAGTTTTCAAAACCATTTCTTGAAGATAAGGTTCTTTCTTCACTGGGTATTCTTGGTGCCTATATAAAAGATCCCCTTTGCTATAAATAAGTAGATGAGTTTCTGGGTTCTGTATTTGTTGTCATATAACTATTCAGAGTAGCCTTTTAAGATCCTTCACATTTCCGTGGTGCTTGTTGTAAAGTCTTCTTTCATCTACAAGTTTATTTATTTGAATCTTTATTTTTTCCTTAGATGTTTTATTTGTCTTTTCAAAAAACCAGCTGTTAGTTTCCTTGATCTTTTCTATTTTTTTTCTTTAGTCTTTATTTATAGTTCTATTGAACTACATGTCTGTCCTTATTTTCCTCCCACCATACTGTTTTTTAAAAAATTAATATAGCTTTGTAGCCTATTTGAAATCAGGTAATGCGAATTCCAGCTTTCTTCTTTTTGCTCAAGATTGCTTGGCTATTTTGGAGGTCTTTTGTGATAACATATAAATTCTAGTATTATTTTTGTATTTATGTGTATTTATGTATCATTGTGATTTTATTAGGAATTATACTTTTATCCTTTGTTCTGTTAATGTGGTGTACTATATGGGTTGATGTTCATGTATTGAATCATCTTGCATCCCAGGGGTTAATATTCCTGGTTCATGGTATGGTGCATGATCTTCCTTAGTGTGCTGTCAAATTCAGTCTACTAGTATTTTGTGGAGGATTTTTGACAATATGTTCATGAAGAATATTGACCCATAATTTTCTTGCTTATAGAGTTCCTGTCTGATTTTGGTATCAGGGTGATACTGTTCTCATAGAAGAAGTTTGGAAGTGTTCATTCCTTCTCAATTTTTAGGAAATGTTTGAAAAGAATTGGTGTTTTAATAAGCTTTCGTCACTGCTATGACTAAAGAACCCAACCAAAACAATTGTAGAGGAGGAAAGTTTACTTAAGGGCTCATGGTTTCAGAGCTCTTAGTCCATAGAAGGCTGGCTTCATTCCTCATGGGCTCAAGGTGAGGCAGAACATTGCTTGGCTCAAGAGTGTGGCAGAGGGAAGCAGCTCACCTGATGATCAGAAAGCAGAGAGAGACAGGTCTCCACTTGCTGGATACAAATATATATGCCAAAACCACACCCTTAATTCTCAACTCCTCCAGCCATATCCTACCACTTCAGTTACCACTCAGTTAATCCCTATCAGGAGATTAATTCACCGATTGGGTGAAGACAATCACAACCCAGTAATTTCTCCTCTGATCTGTCTTGCGTTGTCTCACATGTGAGCTTTTGAAGGATACCTCATATCCAAAACCATAACAATTGGCATTAATTTATCTTTAAATATTTGATAGAATTAAAAAATGAAGCATCAGATCCTGGGATTTCTTTGTTGAGAAATTTTTGATTACTGATTCAACCTCCTTATTCATTTTGAATTCTATTTCTTCATGATACAGTCTTGGTAGGTTGTATATTTGAAGGAATTTATCCATTTCTGCCAGGTAATTTAATTTGTTGGCACATAACTATTCAGAGTAGCCTTTTAAGATCCTTCACATTCCTGTGGTGCTTGTTGTAAAGTCTTCTTTCATCTACAAATTTATTTATTTGAGTCTTTCTTTTTTTCCTTAGCTGGTTTAGCTAAAAGTTTGTCAGTTTTATTTGTCTTTTCAAAAAACCAGTTCTTAGTTTCCTTGATCTTTTCTGTTGTTTTTTTAGTCTTTATTTCTCCTATTTCTTCTCTTATTTCCTTCCTTCTGTTAACTTTGGGTTTATTCTTCTCTCTGTAGTTTCTTGAGATATAAAATTAGGTTGCTTATTTGAGATCATTCTTTTTCCTTAATGCAGGTTTTATCACTATGAATATCCCTCTTAGAACTGCCTTTGCTGCAGACTCTAAGTTTTGGTATTACACTCCAGTTCTTAATACAGAGTTGAGTAAGGCTTTGTTTTCCACAAAGCCCTCCCCAGAAGCTCAGAAAGTTCCATGTGGTCCTCCCAGCCATCTTGATAGTTTTGCTCTCCTAGCTGCCCTCATGCTCCCAATCCCTGCACCCATCACTACCAAGAATTCCACCCCCACCACCATCAATTCCTGTGGCTCGGGACTCGGGCCACTCTCAGCTTCTTGGGACCACTCCTTAACATCAACCCCATCTCATGACCCAGTCTAGTGCAGTCACGGCTCTTAGGTGTGGAGGACCCTCTCTCACACACCCAGATTCATTCCTCTGTACAGCTTATAATGCGCTGTGGTTGCTGCCCTTGGTGAATCACTGATTCTAAGGATTTAGGTTTTGTTTGTTGGCTTGTGTTTCAAACAGCCTTCTTCCTCTCTCACGCCTTGACTGCGCTGTTCTCACCAATCACTCCCCTCTCCTTTGTTGACTCTGCAGTGTCCTTGAACCAAGCAAGCTTAAGCGGTTTTACTTGTCCCACAGGGTAAATTCTTTCTGTGATTCTCCTCCATTCTTGAAGGAGCTAGATTCTAGAATACTGAGCAAATATGCTTAGGAAAAGCTACACATCTGAATTTGCATCAGGTACAATTTGAATTTTCTTTCTGAAATCCCTGTTTTTTTAAAAAAATTTATTTATTTACTCTAATTTGTTATACATGACAGTAGGATGCATTTTAATTCATAGTACACATATAGAGCACAATTTTTCTTGTCTCTGGTTGATCACAAGGTATTTTCACACCATTTGTGTCTTAGGGTACTTAGGGTAATGATGTCTATCTCATTCCACCATCTTTCTTATCTCCATGTCCATCTCTTTTCCTCCCTCCCCTTTGCCCTATCTAAAGCTCCTCCATTCCTCCCATGCTCCACCCCATCCTCATTATGTATGGATCAGCATCCACATATCAGAGAAAACATTCAGCCTTTGGTTTTTTGGGATTGGCTTACTTCACTTCAGATAATATTCTCCAACTCCATCCATTTGCCTGCAAATGGCATGATTTTATTCTCTTTTCATACTGTGTAATAGTCCACTGTGTATAGATACAACAATTTGAAATTCCTGTTTTATAAAGGAGGGCTTTGTAGATAAGCAAACAAGATGTAAGGAGAATATTCAAAGTAGTTATATTTTTTCCTTTTTACATTTATTTTTAAAAGTAATTAATGAAATGATACAAATAATGCCCAAATACATGCTTTTTAAAAACTCAACATTTTGGTGTACTGAGTAATATTATAGTCTCTCTATTCCCCAGCAAACATCCTGCTCAAGTTAGAAATAGTATTAGCATTAAGTATTTATCGCTAGAACATGACACTAAACTTTTATATACATACATGTATATATAAAAAGTTCAGGAATTTTTTTTTTTTCAGTGCTGGGGGTTAAAACCAGGCCTCCTGCATGCTAAGCAAGTGCTCTACCACTGAACTACATCCCAACTATTTTAATCTAATAGAATTATAGTAATGCTCTGTGTAGTTCTCCTGTCCTTAAAATTATATCTTATCAAGTTCTCTTTATTGTAACATAAATCTACCTCATTCTTTTTAACTTCGGTGAATATTTCTTAGTATGAGCATACCAGAATATATTTTAACTGTTTCTTTATCAAGAGATATTAAAGTTGTTTATAGTCATTTGCTACAATAAACAATTCTACAGTGACGATTTTGCATAAATGCATATTTGCTTTGTGCAGAAATCAAAGATGTTCTTAAGGTTGATTTCTTGTAGCAGAATTGCTGAATCAAGGGAAGAATGCATTTAAATATTTGTACAAGCTGTGAGAGAGGCTGTATTGATATCTCTTTCCCAACAGTGCATTTGTTAGAGGCTATGAAGTCATTCTCCCTGTGCAACTGGAGCCTCACCAGGATGTGCATGAGCAGCCAAGGAATGGTTTCAGCCTAATTTATTTTTAGAGTACATACACTGGACTCTTCTGCAATTGAAAGCAGACCTTTGATTCCTGAGTTGCAGATTCTGACCCAGAAGGAGAATGATATGCACTCCTTGTGCATTATGGTTCCTGAGGTAAACATTTTCTTTTACACTATGGGGTGTCTTTCATAATTCTGTATTATTAATAATAATTATTGGTTTGTTGCAGTACTGTGGATTGAACTCAGAGCTTTGTGCATGCTATGCAAGCCATCTACCCCAGATCTACAATCCCAGCCTTTTAAATTTTATTTTGAGACTTACTAAATTGACCAGACTGGCCTTGAACTTGCAATCTTCCTGCCTCAGCTTCCCAAGCAGCTGGGATTACATGTGTGTGCCACTGAGACTTGCTATTAATAACACTTTCAAGGCATATTTTCTAGCCTCATCAGGAGTTTGTGTGTGATTATAGTGTGGCGACAGCTGGTAGTTCAGCCAAAACTATCTGACCTGTACGGTACTGGGAAAACCTTTTTTCTCCTCATTAAAGACTAAGGAGAAACTTAAACCATTTTATAAAAACCTCAAAATCATTCTCTTTGGCTTTATCAAAGGAAATGACATAGGGAAAGAGACTTGTTTAAACTTTTAACTTGTCTCCAGTGAATAGCTTCATTATTATTCAGTTTTTAAAGAATAAACCTATAGTTCATATTCTGTTGCTGCTAAATGGTCTGATTATACTATCCTCTCTTGTTGCTAGTATAACCACAACTCTCAATTTTGCAGGACTCTTCTCCATGGCTTTCTTGAACTGGGGAATTAAAATGCCATAGTCTTTAGGACATGTTTAGACAATTTATAATAATAAACTATGTTAAGTGGGAGCAAGCTGTGAAAATGGACATTTGGTCTCTATATTATGCACAGTTGAGTAGTACCTTGATCTGAATGTTTGTCTCTCCAAATGCATTCGTAAAAACCTAGTCACCAATGTGATGGTGTTAGGAGGTGGAACCTTTGGAAGATGATTAGGCCACAAGCACAGAGACTTTCTAAAAGAGGCCCCAGGAAGTGTTTCCCCCCTCCAATAATGTGAGGACACAGGTAGCAGGTGCCATCTTGCTGACACCTTGATTTTGGACTTCCAAGTCTAGAAGTGTAAGAAATCGATTTCTGTTGTCTGTTGGCTGCACAGTTTGTGGTATTTTGTTATAACAGCTTAAAAAGACTAAGACAAGTGGTAATATGGATGGAGGAGGAAGCTAAAAAACATATTTGGAGTTTTAGATATATTTTAGATTTAGAAGCCAAGGGTGAAGCAGCAAACACACCAACAATTTAAGAGAATTAACTAGAGGACATCATCTTGGTGAGCTCTTGTTTGATGCCTTGTGTATATATTACTTCTAATCCCCATGACAACCTATGCAGGAATACTATTTCTTCATTTTAAGATGTGGAGAGTGAGACTCAAAAAGTCTATATTGCATACCCAGACCCTTGTGACTAAGTAAGGTTTCAAACCTGTTTGTCTTTTAAAATAAAAATTGAATTCATTCTTTGTAGATCTACAAGACAGTAGAGTGTATTTTGACACATAAAACCTGTTTGTCTTGTTTCAAAATCTTTGCTGTTCTCACCATGGACTACTTTGTGCCAGTGAAATTGGAATTTCACATGAACAACAATTCAGTTTTTTAAAGTGTTAAGTGTAAACACTTAACATGTAAACCCACATATTCCAGGGGTATGTAATTGCACTAAAAAAAAATATTGATCATTTCTCAGAAATTCAAATTTTACTGGATGCCCTGTATTTTTGTTTGTTAAATCTGGCAAATCAAGACTCTCTAGCGTGTTAGAATCAAGAATAGGCTTGAGGCAGGAGAAGGACTAGAAATCACCCTCCTTAATCTCCATTGTTCTTTTCTTTCTGTCGGTGCTTCCTTTACATCTCTTCCCTTCAGTGAGCATCACCCATAGCTGGTGATATTTTCACCTACACCCGGGGTGTTTTTTGAGTGTGTGTGATGCTGGCGATCCAACCCAGGGCCTTATTCATGTTAGGCAAGCACTTCACCCCGACCTCACCCCAACCCCTATATCCTAGATTTTGATAACAGTGTTTAGAGAGAATGTTACTGTTCTCAGAAACCTGTTCCCTAAATCAAGCGGCCTAGTGAAGGCTCATTGAATCCACGGTTATTTTCATTTAAACGCCCAAGTTAAAGATTTCCAATCTCTGTTTTAGGTAATACAAAAGTGATGTCACTTAGGATCAAGTTGTCAGATTTTTAGCTTAGAAGATACCAAAGCTATCCTGAGGAGAGCAGTGGAGGAGAGCAGTTGTGCCCAATCATGATTTGATCCAGAGCTGTTCTGCCAGGATTGCAAATCCACCAGTTCCTGTGACCACCTCCGTCTGGTCCTCTGCAGGATTCAAAGATAATGTCCTGCTCTTGAGACATTTATAACATAAGATAAAGGTGCTAAAAGATAGAGAAACGTGTGGAAATGGTGCCTTTATGAAGTTTGAGGACATTCGTGGACACCAAGCTGAGTGCCCTGACACACCGAGACTGGGACATCTTTAAATTGCACTCTGGATGCATAAGAAATGATGAATCTATATATAAGTTCAAAAATATAATACAGTTGTCAAAGTCATGAAGCCATTTCTGTTTGGCATTAACCTCAGGATTAAAGAGACACCTTTGTGATTACCTGGCCAGCTCGTCTTCTGGCTGCTCTTAGCCTTGGAGAAGCCAAGGCCCACGAGGTCCCAGGAACTGTGTATCTACTTACTGTGCCTTTGTGGTAATGAAGGGTGTTGCTGTAACTGTGGCACAGTGGACTAAGGGACTTGGTGTCCAGCCAGTACTTAGGGCCAATCTTTAGAAAACTTGTGAAACAGGAAGTTGTTCTTTAACATTGTCTTTTTCTCATGCCTGTCCTCTTTCCCTCTCTCCAAGGGCTCAGAATAGCTGTAACGTCTCTCTCTACTTCCTTCTAGATACCCAGCTAAGTGAGAGCTTGTCACAGAAGGCAATGGCATTCTATCCTCTAACAGGGGACTCTTAGAAGACTAAAAGTTTTTGCAAACCACACAGAGGCCTCTTCAATGGTGGAATTTTCAATCCCACGATGCCAATATTGGCAACCCGTGTGCCATCCTCTGAGTCACTTTTGCTGATATCAAACACAGCGGTAGAAGTCCTAGGTGCCAAGAATGCAGCTATGTTCCACAAAGACATTTTGTCCTCCTTTCAGTATTCCTGCCAGAGCTGGTGATAACATAGCCAGCAATGTCAATGGTATTAAAATCTGCAGTGACATCCTTTGGATGTGCTTAAAGAGTTCCAAAAGTCTTGAGAAGGTGAATAACTCTAATAAGTTTACCTCTTTAGTTTTTTGAGTCTGTACATCTTTGCTGCCTGAAAATCAACCAGTAGACGCAATACTTCCTGAGTTATGATACAAGTGGTGGATTCACAATTGGTGAATGCATTTTGGCATATGGGATGCTTATTAAAGAAGTCTGGAAATGACATGAAAAATGATTTGACAATCTTGTGTAATTGATTGGTAACAGCAAGATATTTGGGGTTTTCTAGCTTGAATTTATTTTCCAGTGATGGAATTAATGCATATTCACTAGAACATAAAATTACAAAGAAAAGATATATCAAAGAAAACTTCACTCTTTAAAACCTTTGTTTGGAAGCATAGAACAACCATCCAAATGCCTTCCATATCTGTATACTCAACCTAGTTAATATTGTAGAACAAATAAGAAAGAAAATAATACATGTGATAGAATAATCTTCTAAATAAAAAGAGAGTTTGGTTTCCTTTTTTTAATGATGTGAGTAAATTTTCATCAATAAAACACTCTTATCATCTGAATAGAGGAGAATGTTACATTTGAATCTCAGCATCTGGAAAAATGAAATTTAGAAGTTACGATTGGCATATGATGTAACTTTGACCACTGCCCTCCTAAGACAATTGTTTTCCTCAAATTAACAATCTTGGCACTAGTAATAACCTCATCACTGGTAAACCCGGAAGTACTAGTTCAGGAAATAAAGATGCGACTGAATTTCAAATGATTTCAGCCATCACTTTGAAAATGCCATGCCAAACAATAGCTAAAGAAGCCTGCATCTCTAGAGGGAATAGCCAGGCCACGGAAGGTTTTTTCCTCCCTGTCCTTCAAATTGCCCTTGTATTTTTCATCTGACAGTGTCACATACAGTGAGCATTTTCTGGTTTTGCTAAATTCTCAATGAATGAATGGGTGGGTGTTAAACCAACACCATCTTCCTATTTTGCTTCTGCCAGGTGCCTCTTTGGCTTTTGGTACTGCTCAAGACAGATGGGTTTCCTGGAGAGCCACAGCAAACGCATTGATCAGGATGAGGAATCCATAGAATGTGGCCAGAGGAAAAAAAAACCCGGGGTGGAGAAAGGCTGTGGATGTGCTACTGTCCCCAGATAGGAGAAGGTCCCATAAAAATTGTTTGAAATTAAATGCTTCATTATGATAAGCAAAATAAGCCAAACTCAGAAAAGTCAAGGGTTGTATGTTTTCTCTCACATGTGGAAGCTGAAGAGAAAAAAGGAAGGTGTGTGTGGGGTGGGGTGGAGGAACCTCATGAAACTAGGAGACCACGAGGAGGGAGGCAGGAGGGAGAGAGAAGGTACAGAGGAATTAAACTGACCAAATTATATCGTTATGTTGTGTGTAGGTACAAATACGTAACAACCAATTCTACTATTATGTATGATCATTATGCACAAACACAAAATTCCAAAAATAAATAAATAAATAAATAAATGAGAAAATGCCATGCCAGTCCCAACAGATCCCAAAGGAAATTATATGATTTACCTAAATATGTGTGCAACAATGGCAGCATTAAAAATAATGCTTATTCATAATTTCTCTAGATGATTTTTGAATAACTTACTATAATGTACTCCTTCAGATTTTTTTGTTGTTTTATTTACTGTATTAATCAGTTTTGCACCACTATAACCAAACAAACACCCCACAGAAAAATTATAAAGAAAAAGAGGTTTAGTTAGCTCATAGTTTTGGAGGTTTAAAGTCCAAGATTGGGTGGGGAGGAGCCAATGGTTTAGCCCCTTCCTGGTGAGGGTTGTGCCCAGCATAGCAGCACAGCATGGTGTGTGTGTGTGTGTGTGTGTGTGTGTGTGTGTGT